CCCTCTCTCTCTTTTGGCAAGGACTATCTATGTATCCCTGGCTGTCCTGGAACTCATTATGTAGAACAAGTTGGCTTCAAATTCAGAAATCTTCCTGCCTCTGCCTCCTGAGTGCTGGAATTAAAAGCATGTACTGCTATACCTGGCATTAATTTTCTTAACACTGTTTTTGGTGTCCACTTGTAAATCTGCTCTAACACTCATTTGAGATTAAAATTTGAACTTTTTAATCCCAATTTTGTTATAAAATATATGGTGCACGAATCCAATATCTTCTAAAGTAGTTAAGGCTGAGAATCTACTCACTGCTATACATGACATAGTATTAGAATTCAGTTTTCTTTTTAAAATTAAGATTAGGGCATTATATATCAGCCTATGAAATTTTGTGGTGCATAGTGTGTTATGGACAGATTTAATAATAGAATGAGAAAAGCGAACATCATAAAATGATTTGTCACCCAAAGCAGGCCTTAGATCTGAACAAAATTGGGGAACCTCTATTTTGAGGAGTAAGAATGCTGCTATAGGATAGTTGTCGAGAGGAAATGGATGGTGGAGAGGAAGCCAACTTCCTAAATCCTCCCTTTTAGACTTTCTTAAATGTCACACTCAGTCATTCAATAGTAACAGGTAGACATGGGCTCTTGTCCTGGTTTGGGTTTCCTAGCTTCACGATCTTGTGGGAGCTACTGAAAATCCTAGACCCTGGTGTATCTATAAAGGACCGTGGCAATAATTATGTCTTTCCTCTGAGGGCTGCCGTGAGACTGTAGGGTATCTCCATAGGGGCAGTTCATGCATGTAGACTGAGTGTAAACTTGCTAATGCACAGGTGGAAATGTACCTACCACTTCTGTGCCCAGGGTACTAGCCAACTCCAAGGGCACTTTTGTTCTAATTTTTCTTATTGGAGGAATTCTCTTTGCCAAGTCTTTTGGTACAGCATTCCTCCTGTTATCCTCATATGAGCTCCATCCTGCCTCTTTACAATTTATTTCTTCCAGGAAGGGGTGGTTTTCTTTTCATATATGTACCAGAGTCCGAGAGTTTCATTACCATGAGTGATGTCCCAAAGGGCATGGTGATCATTCCGTCGCAGGTATTCATTCTCTTTGATCTTGTTAAGTTGTTCTAGCTTAGACTTTTCAGATGCCTCAATAGATTTGAATAGTAACTGTATTGCATGGCAACTTTCAGGAGGCCTGAGTTCCTCCTCGTTTTCTGTCTCCATGAACCACTACTTTCTTGACAGGCTTTAAGCAAGAAAATGAAGGGTGTTCCCCAAGACTAGCTGCTAAGCAACAGCCCTGCTCTAGAAGCTCTCCTTTAAGTCATTGTGACATGGTTTTTTGCAAAGCAGCACTGTGGCATAAAGGCAGCTAGAAAGCCTGATTTGAGTAGCAACTCTGTCAATGACCAACAATAGGATACTGGGCTGGATCTCTTAAGCTTTGGTATAACTTAATGTGCCTTGTTCATTTCTACCACAGGAGATTGTCTTTTCCATAACTGTGCCCGAGAAACTCTTCTCAGCTAAGAAAATTATTGGCTGTCTTTGGCTTTGGTTAAGATCTTCTCATTGTCTAAGACAGGATAAATCAAAGTATTGTCCTTCATTAGGCATCTTTTAACAAGCTTTTGTCTACTTCATTTTCCCTTTTTATTTATTGTTCAACACTGCAGAAGCAATATATCATTATCCTCTTATAAAAGGAAATTAGCCTTTCTCACCACTGTGCCTTTCACACTTAGAGTGGTATTTGTCATGTAGTAATAGAAAGTGCTTGGAGTTTATGGTGACTGATAATAAATTGGGGTGTGTGTGTCCTTCATCAGTCACTTGTGCTACCATCTCTCATGAGATTCCTGTGCTTGGTGTCAAGGATGTAGTGAGATTGTAGGGAAGAGTCCAAGCTTTGGTTGGCTGGCCCTGGATATGGCTTTATAAGGAACCAAGCTTCCCCCAGGTCTCAGTTTCTAGGAAGTAATAATATCTGTCTTATGAGGTTTGCATGTGAACTAAGTAAGAAAATGCATTTTTATTACTTGCAATTTTAACTGGAAGTGGTGGAATCTGCTTGTAGTTACAACTGCTTGAGAGGGTTAGACAAAAGGATCACCGAGCTCAGGATTTTGAGAACCATCTGGGCTACAGGGAGACCTATTATAAAAGACAAGGAACCTACCATTGGATCCCCTTTCCCTACTTGGACTGCCTGGTTGGGCCTCGGTGGGAGAGAATGTACCTAGTCCTGCTGGGACTAGGTGTCACAGGGTGAGAGGTACCCAAGGAGGACTCTCTATTCTCTGAGGAGAAGGGGAGGGGGCTGTGGGAGGGAAGGGCTTGTAAGAGTGGACTTGGAGGAGAGGAAGGAGGGGAGCTGTAATCAGGATGTAAAGAGAATAAAAATAAATAAATTATTGAAAAAGATATACTGAATACATGTACAAATTTTTCATAAATAAAAATTAATAAAAATTGAGGAAGGCAAGGAATGAAACAAAAAAATAGTTTGACACATAAGGTGACCATACAATGGGTGCTGGAGAAAAAAACAGAAAAATATTCTTATTACATGAAGACTTTTAATTTTAAGTAAGAGAAACACACTTGAGTGCTTTAAGGAGTATGGCGTCCTACTTAGTTGTAGCAGAGTTTTATAGACTCTAAAGGCAGAAACACATCTCGACCTTGTGAAGGAGCTAGACTTAGGAGCTATGAGGCTATTGGTAAGTGCTGTCACTTAGTCTTACATTCTAGCTGTTACATATAAAGCATCCACTTCTCCTTATGTACAAACTCCTCTAGAGCTCCTGAGCTTACATATTACAGATTCTGTCTCTCTTAGTGACAGACCAACAGTCTTTGTTCTCAGTTGTGAATTCAAGATGATATTATAATCTACTCCATTGAGTCTAATGACCCATCAATTGGATAACCATGTGAGGGGTGACAGCAACTGGAAGCCACCACTGTTTTAAAGTACAGTACATGTTCACAAGAAAGGATCCTGCTAGCTCATTTTCTGGGAAGACACTCTACGATGCATTTACTGTATCTCCATGATGAGTCGAATGCACAGTTGCTAATCTTGCAAACATTAGAGTAGCACTGGGCCTTCAGCAGAAGTAGGATGATGTCTGGACTTCCAGTTTTGGACAAGCCAGGCTGTACTGCATATGCTCAGGAGTACAGGAGTCATGGTGGCTGTGGGCTGTGAGAGGCAGCTGGGTACCTGGTTGAATAGGCTTTCAACCCTGGAGACCTTCAGGGATGGTAGGAGTTTGGCCTTGCTCCTGGGCCCCAGGCTCCTTTCACATAGCTATAGCCTCCCACAGAGAGGTTTGTGGCCATTGGTCACATAGCACAGGTAGAGGGCATGACTATAGGCCACAGAACCTCAAGACAGATCTCCATATCAATGAGATATCTAAAGGCCAAAGAGTGTAGCCAATTAAGAATTCCTTCCCAGACCCTCCTCCTTGCAAAAGGTATTTAACCTCAGTCCTGCCCTGAGAATACCGGGGTATAGCTTCATCCATTTTCTGCCACCATGACAATAAACATTTTAAGACCATAGACTACCTTTCTTCTTTGGGACCTGCTGTGGGGAACCGTGGAGAATGTTTCTCCATGTTTCCAACCATGGAGACCCCCAACCCAAACAGGAAAGCCGAATCTAAGCTCGCTGAGACCCAGCCAAGCAAGTCACCATGACCAGGAGTTTCATCCCCACAGGATGCAGCTAGAGCTTCTCCTTCTCCCTCCTTTGGCTGCAGGTCAATCCAACCCATACGCCCCCAATGTCTCAGCCTTTCTGTGGCCTCTCAATGGTTCCTGAGAGCCCAAGAGTCTGAGAACCAGTCGGTTCCCAGCCACCTTGGCCCGAGTACCCCTAACTCAAGAGCTCCAGCCTCTGTGGGACCCCAGGCTGTGTTCCTTCCACCTCCAGAGTGGAGTCCCATGGATTCTCACAGCCTGACATCCACCCAGCCCTAGTGTGGAGTGAACACAGTCAAATTTCCGTGCCTCTGCCTCTCTGAGCTGAGACCCTAGCCCCTTGGAGTTGGCAGACACAGGACCCATAACTCAACCCACAGGATCCATGCCCATTCGCATGCTATAGCACATCAGATGGCTCCTTCTTGAGAATGGTTAATAGGCTACAGACATTTGTAAAAGTTTTCATCTTGTCTTGTGCACTGAAATCCAGCCATTTCCTCCTTACAGTCATCATTCAGATGTACACAGGCAAGTGGAAGACTGTAGGTAGGGTGGATGACTCCATGCTCATACAGTGTTTCCACCTTTCACGAGAGGCAGATGGTGTTTTCATATTGAGAAAATGTTTTCACCCCCTGCCCCTCTCTTACACACACACAACTCAAGGGAACTTATGTTTTGGCTGTTGATTTCATTTTTAGTACTTTAGAGCTATTGGACAAAATAAACTGGTTGACTCAGTATTACTTTGTGTTGCAACTATCCAGAGGCTGCCTGGTGACCTAGTATATGGGGCCATATGGAAATAATCTGTCTCTGTGGATATAGGACAGTGGTAGAGAAATCTGCCAAAGGAGTAAAAAAGTAAAAGTAAAGAATGGGATAAATTAAAAGTCGTTTGTGGTCTGTGACTTCAAAATCTATTCTTTTGCTCAGTGATCATCTCTCTCGCTGATAACACCAGTCCATCAAGTCAAGTTCTTTCCCATGAACTCTAGATCTGTATTTATCTAATGCATTCTGGCCACTCAGGTACATCATAGTCACTAGGTTTAGAGGTACAGGAACCTGTTCTTCCTTCTCCAAGTCACTTTGTTGTATTTATCATCTTAACATAACACTCAAAGTCAGAAAGCTGGGGATATTCTTTATCTTTTACTTAAAATAGATCCCTATGTCTTATGATTTTTTTTTTTTTTGGTTTTTCGAGACAGGGTTTCTCTGTGTAGCCCTAGCTGTCCTAGAACTCACTCTGTAGATCAGGCTGGCCTTGAACTCAGAAATCTGCCTGCCTCTGCCTCCCAAGTGCTGGGATTAAAGGTATGCACCATCACTGCCCGGCATCTTATGGATCTCTGTCTTCAAATGTCTCTTTATATCTGCCCTCCTTCTCTCAGTGTGAAAGCATTGCTCTCCTCTAATTGTATGTCCTTTAATTTATGTCAATAGGTTTCATTGGAGATTTGTCTGCTTACTCTACTTTTTTTTGGCTAATATTAGAGGAATAAGTCAGAACCAAAAGTTTGATCATATTTCTTTGCTGTATACAGTCCTTCAAAGGATTCTCAATTATCTTGAGGGAGCATTCCTGATTCTTTAGCTAAGGGGCCCACATGATCAGATTCTTGTTTCCTGTGCAAACTCATAATCTTTCTCCCAGTCATGTGATCACTGATCTCTGTGTTTTCATTTGTTCCATGTCCATTGTGACCTCACTGTGGACACTAGTGATTTTCCAAGCTGAGATTAGGCATCACTTACTGGGGAAGCTCTTTCTGATCCTGCCTCACATGCTTCTCTGGGTTTCTTTTGTACTCTGTAGACTTTTATCATGGGACTTATTATAATGAGTGTGCAGTTGTTGATTATGTTTCAGTCTTCTGCCTCACAGTGTATATTCTTTAAAGCTAAAAATTTTGCGTTATTCACATTTTAAGCCTAAACACAGTATGTGTCACAGAACACATGTTACTCTATTATCATTAGACAATCTCGTGCAATTTTTCCCAGAACTGAAGTCTGCAGTCAGATAGAACAGGTGGTTATATCCTTGGTTGCCTATCTGTAGAATAAAGACCATATGCTTAGAGTAATTTTATCATAGAGTACTCAAAATAGAGATCTGTGTAAGCTCAACCAGACAAAAGCTCAGTGTAGAGTGGAGAAGCAGTCAAGAAATGCTATGCTCACTGGAGGAATTATTGGTAACTGATAGCTTTCAGGAGAAGTTAGCTTTCCTTATAGGTGTGGCCCCTGATAGATGAGACATGCTCCAGTGGATGACCATATACTCAAGAGTATATAGGTAGCACTAATTGAAATTGGTTTTGTGTGTGTGTGTGTGTGTGTATCTCTGTGTGTTTATTATACAAAGTTAGGTGGATATGGAATTAAGGATGGATCTGGGAGAACATAAGGGAGGATATATGATCAAAATACAATGTATGATACTCTCAAAAAACTAAAACATGCATTACATGTGAATAGAAATCATTGTTTTTTTTAAACAATGTGATATATTTAGAATATAACTTATTGAATGGATACT